TTCATTTAAATTAAAATTTTTTAGAAATTTTTAAAAATTTCTTTTGTTATTTTAATATTTGTAGGGACATTAGTATTTTTTTAAAAAAGTAACTAATTAAAATACTATAGCCTTATTTAGAATATTCTGAAAAATAGCAGTACCGATTTTTCCTCCGTTCCTGAACAATTTTTTAACAATTATTCCCGAAACGAAGGCCCATAAAATCCCGACTCTAAATAATTATATTTTTATATATTTTTGACCTTTTTTATTTTATTTTTTAATTTTCTAATACATAGCCTTATTTTGCTTTTTTCTTTACTTATTTATATTTAATATTTTAATTATCGCTAATGGGCGTTCATGGGAGAACATAAAAAATTAATTTATATTTTAGTATACATATGTATTCAATATTTTTCTTTCATCCATTTTGTCTATTTTTTAATCTTAGAGAAAGCGAAAGCTCTGTAACGACAGGATTTTCTCTCTCTCTACTAAAGATGGTCGGGTTTCGGATCAGGTTTTCGATTTATCTTCGTATTTTGCGTCGAAAATGGCTCTATTTGTGTCATGGATCGGGTCAGTTAGGGATAAGAGTGGAAAAATCTGAGTTTGGTTCGGGGTTCGAATAATCCGGCCCATCTCTGATTGTAAGGAAGAGAAAGAGAGAAAGATCCATCTGGCTAGCATTTAAACCGCTCACTAGGCGGGGGTTTAAGATCTATTAAAAGAGAAGGTGAAAGCAGAGTCCCGGTAGATCAGTTGGTAGAGCACCTGTACGTGTTGAGAGAAAGCGCCTAGCAATAATTGCCAGTAGGTCGCTGGATCGAAGCCTGCCCGGGATTAAACTTTTATCTCGCTCGCTCTTACTCAAGTCAAAAATTAAAATCTTTTTAATCCAAAATTTTCTTTTTAGATTAAATCTCTTTTTTAATTATTCCCCTCAATTCCCCCATGTCATAATAATCCCCTTTTTAGCTTTAATTATCTAACAACCATTATTTTAGCCTTTGAATGGCAGCCCTAATTTTGTTTGCCTCTCCTTTAATTTTTTTCTATTTTTTTCTTTAAGCTTTTTCCTCTTTTCTTTATTCCACTTAAAGTTGGTAAATTGGTTTCCTTCAAATTTTGGGGATTTTAGACCATTTCTCTTCCACTGCGCGACAAAAAGCTTTTTATTTTGACTATTCCGTTAAGAATTTTATTTTTTAAAAATTTAGTTGAAAAAAATAATTTCCGTTTTTGATTTGCATAAATTTAAAAAATTTTCTTTTAAATTTCTTCAATTTCTATTAAATTTTGTGTAATCTTTTGGTCAAAGCTATATACTCAGAAAATTTCTTTTTAAATTTCTTCCATTTCCATTCAATTTTGTGTAAACTATTTGTCAAAGTTAAAGACCAAGAAATAATTTTTTATTTCAATTTAAGAGCTCTTTTATTGGCCTACCAATTTTTAAAAGTACCAGACTGAAAAATTAGCTGGGGGAATCTACCGTAAATGCTCCAAAAATTCCCCTTGGTAGTAAAGTTCCGATCTTCCGCTGGAGGGAAGATCGGATCTATCCCACTAGTGAGATATTCACTCGATTTTATTCGATATTGACTTACTCAGAGCTAAAATCAGAGCAATTTTAAGTTTTCGATTTTCGAGGTTTCTTTATTTCGATTATTGTTATTATTTATTCACTCTACGAACTTTCGTTTTTATATTTTTAAATCGTTTTCGGTACTTAAAACAACACATTACTTACTCGAAAATAATTTTTTCTTTTATAAAAAAATTTTTACAAAGAGATATCTCAACTCTACGGTCAGGCATTTTATCCCATGGGAAGCCTAAAAAGTGTAAAAATATAAATGGTGTTGGATGGTTGGCCAAAATCGCCTTTCAATCTTTCCTGTTTTTAAATGACCATTTCGGATACTAAAAATAAAACAAAAAATATTAACTTTTAAAGAAAGAAAGGTTGTTTTTGGGTGAATTTTTGCCTTAACATTTTAACTTTTTTTAAACTTTTATTTTCAAAAGAAAATTTTTTTGGCTAAAATTTTTTTATTTAAAAGAATTGTTTTTAATCTCTTGAGTCTATTATTTTCAAAAAATATTTTCAAGATAAGAAAAGTTTTTTTACGTATTAGTGCTTTTTTTAATATACTAGTGAGTCTTGTTTTTTCTTGACTTTCTCTTTATGTGGTGAATATTATATCATAATCATATCTTATAATAAAGTTATCTCATAATGTATCTTAGGTAAGGGAATTGCTTTTTCGGCGGCCCAATCTGGGCAAATAAACATTTTAAAAATTAGTTTTAAACCAAGTTACTCTGTATATTCTCGATAATTATCATCCCTTAAATTCCTTTGACACGTTCAAACCTCAAATTATTAAGCTATCAATAATTATTATCCCAATCCCCTCCAGCGAGAAGTTGAATCAATTATTACGCAGGGAGTTATTTGAGCATATGTATCTGTATCTCATTAAATGTATCCTTTATTGAGGTCTATCAGTTTTTTTAGCTTTTATTATAAAATCTCATAAAATTGACTTTAAAAACTAAACCATATAAATTTGAATAGCTTTATTTTTTGTTTCAAATAAAACTTTATTAAATTCTCTTTTTTAAGATATATCCCCGTTTTAACACATTCTTTAGGGTTTTTTTATTTTTTCTTTATTCAATCCACACACTCAACCCTATATAGGTGAGAATTATGTATTTCTCACTTTCTCGCATTTTTGCGCTCTCATGTAAACAAATTTTTTTTCAATAACAACAAAAATTGCCAAGGAGGAAGTTTGCCAAAGAAGTGAGAAAAGAAGGTATATATTCTATCAATAAATATATACAATCTGTAGAAAAAAATGCCGAAAATCTACGCCGAAATATTCTGAGCTAAGGGGGATTAAAGCATGTTAAACATTTTTTTATTTTTTGTTTTATGCGTTAATGAAGCGGCGCAAGTTTAACTTTTGAATTTATCCCAAATTTAAGTCAAAAGATTATTTTCTTTCAATTTTCATATCCTTCTCAATCATTCCTCTAATCTTTGGCAGACTCCTTAAAAATAAATAAATTTAGAGAGACTAGAGATGGCTAGATTAAAATACTACCATCTCTCCGGTCGAGAAGAGAGATGGTAGAGACTAGAGACCGGATATAGATCTAGCCAATAGAGACATGGCTAGTGACAGGATCGAGATGATATCCCGAACAAAAAATCTCGATTATCGAGATTCAAGATTTCGAAAAATCTTGTCTTGTCCAAACATGTGACGAAATTTCGATTTTCGCTTTTGAATTCTAAGATTTTTTAAACTTTATCTTCATATTTTCGATTATCAAGGATTATTGAATTTAAAACAGCTCTGGTTGTCTCTAATTTTTATTATATCACTTTATGGTTCGCGCATTAAATTTAAAATATGTAAAATTTATAGCCATTTTTTCATAAAACCAAACAGATATTTATAAGTAATACTGTCCTCATTAATTAATGAACACATGCAGAGGATTAACTATGTTTTTTATGTCCCTTACGTAAATTAGCATTATAATGACTAAATTTTTTTAAATTTATTGTCTCATCATTAAAAATAAAAAAATTTTTTAAACATATTTTTATAAATATAATTAAGTGATGGGACAGATTGAGAATAAAGCCTGGTCATGTTTTTAAATTTTCTTTTAATCGGATTTAGCGATGAAAAATGTTTGGGGTTCAGGCCGAACATTATCCGTCCTATATCTGATACCAAATATCCCTTTCTCACCCTCTCCTTAATTTTTTGATAGAGTAATCGTCTGACTTTTAGAGAGAGCACTGTAGCTCAGACCCAAAATTAATTTATTTAGCAGCTTAAATATAAAAATAAAATCCAAAATTAATAAATAGTAAAAATATTTTTCTCAATTTCTCAATAAAAAACACGATTTATACCAAATTTAGTACACTTATTTAATAATTTAAATGTCCGCGCAACAATTTTCTTCTCCCTCCTCCCCTGCCTCAATGCCTCATCGATTGGCACTCACCAAAGTGCCGTGAACAGCATTATCAAATTCCTGCTCCTAAATTTGCCTCGGCACAATTTTTGCCTTTAAGTGAATCAAATGAAGGCGAGAATGATTATTTAAATAATAAAAATGGTAAATTAAAAATAAATTTTCGGGGATATTTTTTTAATTTTTTAGTACTTTTTATCTTTTGGATGTACTATAATAATTGGAATTACATAAATAAATCATTGTTGATTTTCCGTATTTATCCGGCAAATATTTTATTGAGCTGGATATAATATTCATTAAATATGCCTAATTTTTTAACGAAAAAAATTTTTTTTTAACATTTTAATGGTATTTTTTAATTTTAATATTTTTCTAATAAATTCATTTTTTCATAAATTAATAAATTTTCTAAATTAAATTAAAATTTAAAATTAGCGTTTAATCAGTTATCGACACCGGGCCGGGGCCAGGACCATGTTTCCGGACCCGATGCCTGTAAATAAAAAGTCATCGTTTATTGGGCCTTGTTTTCGCGGTTTCGGACGGAAAATAAAAGATTAAAACCAGTTCCGGCAATTTGAATATGTCTATCACTTTTTAAAATATAAAATAAAATAATTTTTTTAATTATTTAATTTAAACATTCTTTAATAAATTAAAGCATTTTTATTTTAAAAAAGGCTTCTTCACTCCAATCATCTCAAAATCGCTCAATTGGGAAGCACAAAGGATTACTAGTACAATCACAACTACATCTTCGACATTTCCACCAACATTTCAAACATCTCCACCAACTAAACCAACATCTGTATACTCAACAAAATCATTTTCAAGTCCTTCTACCTCAACAATAACTTCAGCTACAACAACTAGAAAACGACCTCATTCATGGACTAGACCCAAAACTAGCGGTAAGTTCGAATGTTTTTTTCGTTTTTTTTTGTTATTTTAATAAAAAAATCTTTTAATAATTAAAATTAAAAATATTTTTTTAAATTTTTTTCTATGTTATTTACTTTTTAATTGCTTTTTACTTTAATAGTTTTTACTTCCTTTTTGTCTTTAAAATTCTTTCCGTTCCATTTTTATTTTTGAGAATTCTTGTCGTATTACTAAAATTTTTTAAAAATATAAATTTGCTTTTTTTAACATTTTTAAACTTTTTTTTGCTAATACTTGACTTGTTACGTTTCCTTTTTCTTAATTTATATTGAATAACTTTTAATTGATGCCACGGACCTGAACTTTTTTGGATTAAAACAAATAATAACCTAACCCCCATAGACATTAACTCAAATGACAGTTCCTCAATAGGGATAGAGTATTTAGGTTTTAATTACAAGTGCCGGTTTTACCAAATTCTTCGGATAGCTGAATTCAAACTGCAACCTGAACAGAAACTTCTAGTTAACCGTAACCGATTAGATAATCTACTCTTAGATAACCTACTAAAACCTACTCTTAAATAAATTCTTAAAATTTTTGAGTAAATTTTTAGTGAACTTATACAAATTTTCTCAAAAAATTTTATTATTTTTTCCATCATTTTTAGTTAAAATTTCGGAGTTTTGATAAAAAGTTCAATCCAATCGGACCTCGATAACACGGAGAAAATCAAAAAAATTGGGTCAAATTATTATTCCAATCTAATATTCCATCATATTTCACAAGTAATTAAAAACCTCAAGTCAAGTATTAGCTTTACTAATTTTCTAATTAAAAAGCTATTTTTGGTTTATTTTTTTTGAACTCACGCAATTTTACCGTTTTCTGCTTTTTTACCCTTAAAAACTTTTCTTTCCTAGAAATGTCTTTAAATATATTTTTATGCACATCTTGGTCAGTTGCACAAATCTGGCACGGCCATCGGCCTTAAAAAATAAAAAATAAACAAAAATTTTAATGTTGACTCAGGGGAAAATAAATATAAAAAAATGCACTCAGCACGCACTTGAGCACACAAATAATAATAATATGTAATTCTTACTTTTCTAAACTTTTTTTCCTCTTTTTTAAATATTAATTTGCTTTTTTTTAAATTATAATTAAATATTTTTATTTTCTTTTGCAGTCTGACCAGGGCTGATCGAAATTTTGTTCAGTTTCGCTCTTTCTTGCCCTTTTCCACTTGTTTCTGAAATATTATTTTGAATGAAATTCTTTCTAGTTCCATCAGTCCTGATTCTGACCCTATACTTATAACTCCTTAGTAGGGTGGGACAAAACCTTTTAATTTAACGCTAACCTGGTTTTTCTAAAACTTAACGAAACGGTATACAGGTCTCAGAAATCGGCATCAGGGATGTGCGTCATGGCGTTTTGGCGTGACGTTTTGGCGTTTTGGCGTGATTTTTGGCCGATTTTGGCGTGCTGGCGTTTGGCGTGATTTTCAGTTTTTGGCGCGCCAAAACGCCAAAATTATACACCCCTAAAGATGGGAATTTTCCAAATAAATGGGGGAAGTGTTTTCAAAAAAAATGAAATTTTTTTGCCCACAGCCTTCCAAAATTTTCAAAATTTGCGCCTGCGGCGCACAAAAAAGGAAGAAGTCTACTTATTAGCTTTCAAAAAATCACGAAATTTTCGCCTGTGACACTAATAGAACTTAATACACTTTTCTTCAATCCTCCAATATCCATCAAATCCTATTAATCTACCAAAGCCACTAATGCCTCCTTAATCCTTTCTAAGTCCCTTACTTCGGGAGGTTAGAGGATATTTGGACATCTAAACCCTTCGATATTCTACAATTCTGGGGTTGTGATTTTTCCATTTTTCTTGCAATTTTTTACAAAAAGTAGGATTTCTGCTCTTGTTCTTAACAAATTTCCATAATTTTGGGTGTAGGCGCTAAAAAAAGGATGAATTTTGACTTCTGGAAGTCGTGAAAATTTAAAAATTTTCGCCTGCGGCGAAATAAAAATATATTATACTTGTTTTTCGGGCCTTAGTTGAATAAAATTTTTGGCGTTTTGGCGTTTGGCGTTTGGCGTTTTGGCGTCGTTTTTTGCCGATTTTGGCGTTTTGGCGTTTGGCGTGATTTGAAAATTTGAAAAATTGGCGTTTGGCGTTTGGCGCGCCACGCGAAAATTCTGGCGCACATCCCTGATCGGCATAAACGGTATACGGTTTTTTTCTAAATTAAACGGTTTTGTCCAACCCTACTCCTTAGGATAAATTAATTAAATATAAAACTTTTAATAAATTTAAAAATAAAATAAAAAATATATAAAAACAGTAAAAAATTTTTTGGTTTTTAAAAATATTAAAAAATTATTATAGAATTAAAACACTCCCAATTAAATTTATTTTTATTTACAAAAAAACATTTGTTCAATTATTTATGTTGACAGAAAATACTTAAATATAAACTTTAAATGCTCAGGCAATTATTTATTTCTAAAAGGGATTTTACAATTAATTGGATATTTTAAGCTTTAAATGTACTTTCTGTATTAAAAAATTATTTTAAATATTTATTTTTGAAATTTTCCTTGTAGAGATTATTCTTTTAATTATAGAAATTTAAATTGAAAAAAAATCAGTTTAAAGCATTTATCAGGATTATTCCGAAGGTAGTAGGGATAGGTATTGTGCGAAAGGCGAAACTCGCACACCTCGGTTATTCATGGTATCAGTAGGGATAGGTATTCCAGCTCCGAGCATTTAAAGATATCACTATCTCCGGATCTAGCTCCAGAAGCCATATAATCCTATCGTCACGATTTTCGAGGATCATAATATGTCGTGTAAAATTAAAAATATGTCGTCTAAAGCCGCCAGAACATAAAACACCCCTAATTTAATTTAGTAAATATTAAAATATTTGAGAATAGTCACGGCATTTAATTTGTAACATCCTCATTCTGTCAACATAAATTAAAAATACATTAAAATTTAAACAAAATTTAACTAGCAAATATTTAAAAAAATTAAAAAAAATAATTCCCAATATTAGCTTCAATTCCATCGGCTTCTCCAATTCAGCCAAAGTCTTCAAAATTGCTTTCTTCCGAATTAAATTTAATGAATTCTGACAATCATAACGTTCAAAGTACATCAACATCAAATGAGTATTATGGCCCCTCATCTTCAGAAATATTAAATGATCGAGAAGAAAAATTATTAAAAACTTTGGGATATCATAATAGACACAGAATTAAATCGAAACAAAAGGAAGATAAAGGTAGGGAAATTGAAGATGATGAAGAAAATCATAAAAGGGAAGAAGAGAAAGAAGATGAAGAATCAAACTCCAGACAAAATTATATCCCTAAAGGGGGTTGGCCTATGAGAACCAGAACTTGGCCAGATGGTAGAAGACTTGGATCCGATGGACTCAAAAAATGGCAAAAATTGAGGCCTAAAATTATTCAGCAAGAAGATAAAATTAAAGAAAAAACAAAACTAGCAAAAACCTCAAAAAGCTCCCCTTCCACGCCTTCAACTGCCTCTACTAAAAACACTCAAAAAACAACAGAAATGCCTTTACAACGTTTTACGGTCGATCCGGGTATTAAACCTGGATTGCATTTTACTTTTGGTAATCAAATATAAATTAACTTTAATAATTACTGCAAAATTAATAGAAAAAAGTTCAAAGTTTGTTAGAATTCCGTCTTAACTCCTACCATATTTTCTTGAATAATTACCGAGGGTAATTATTTTTAATAATTATTCAAGGGAGGGCAATTATTCGAGTTTTGAAATTTGAACGGTCGGAATCCTGATAAATCCCCCAATGACGGTACACTATTGAGGGTACTATTCCATATTTAAAAATTTTGTTAGTATAGATAATTATTTGAGAAAATAAGGTAGAATTGGCCATGCTATAAGTTGCTTCTTTCAAAAGATAGACCCTTAAAAATATTAGCACCAATATTAGAAAATACACTGCTCCACATAATTATAAGTCCACCCCTTTTTTCGGAATTGTTTGACTTCCAGTGATCCAAATTTTCTGAAAATTTAGAAACACACCTTTTAGTGAATATCTAACAAGATCTTTAAAAAAATTTTTCGACCCCTTAACGATTATTTTCAATTTTAATTTTGGGCTCATTCGAAAGCCCTTGAAATTTGCTACAAGATAGCATTAATGATATTTTATAGAAAATCCGATTAGAAAGATACGGGCCGTTAATCTTCTGACGCAGCAAAAATCGTCTAAATGCCCCATAAAATGCCCTCTAATGACACTTAGAAAGTTTATCGTCTTGTATCTCCCTATGGAATTTTTCTGAAAAATAAGACTATTGCTATCTTGTAGCAAATTTCAAGGGCTTTCGAATGAGCCCAAAATTAAAATTGAAAATAATCGTTAAGGGGTCGAAAAATTTTTTTAAAGAGCCTTACCCCCTAGTTACGTTGATTTTTGGGGTCTCAGGATCTCGGCTCCGGGTAAAGATATGGGTCTAATTTTTTTTTATTTTTTCATAATATCATTATGCATCTTTGCTAGAATTTTTGTAGATTTTTCCTAAACTTGGAAATATCTTTTTTGAAAAGTGGACTTATAATTTTGTGGAGGCCGAAAATGCAAATTTTGGTCTAAAAATTTTTTAAATAAAAATTCAGCCAAAAATCGAATCACACCTTGATTGTTATTCACTAAAAGGTGTGTTTCTAAATTTCCAGAAAATTTGGATCACTGTGAGTCAAAAAATCCCGAAAAAAGGGGTGGACTTATAATTATGTGGAGCAGTGTAGGTATTTAATAAATGGAGATCGAATTGAAATGGGAATAGTCCTGTGAATTTTTGAATAAAAAGCTAAAATTAATTTAGAAAATTTAAAAATTAGCACAATTTACCCTCTATTTAAATTCTCACTTACATAAATTCACCTAAAAGAATTGACTTTCTTTCCTAAACAAAATTTACGTTTTGTTGCACAAAATTGTTTTTTTTTGTTTTCCCTTTAATTTTTTATTAAATTTTTATTCACAAAATGAAATCCAGAATTTATATTAAATGTTCTCATTTCCTTAGTTTTTTTATTTAACCTTCTATATTTAAAATTCTGTTTTATTAGTATTATATTTAATGTGCGAATAGTGCTGCTGAAATCCTAAAAATTAAAATATAAGGATAAAATGGAGACACTATAACGATTCCCATTTATCCCCAAATCCGCCAATATCCTTCTTTATGCCCCTAAAAACTCTTGTTTTAGGTTGTTATCTCATTTTTAACAATAAAATTTAATTATTATTTGATTGCAGTGTGCTTTTTTAGTAATAATATTATTTGTTTTATTTTGTTTTTAACTACTGATTTTTCTTTTTTTCTTCAAATTTTTATTTTTTATCTTTTTTGAAATTATTCTTATAAAAGTATATATGTAATATTTCTAAGAAATCTAGGACTGCTGTGTATTCATATAGATTAGTGAATCTTCTACTGGTATCAGAAGATTTTCCAAGAACCAACACCATATTAATTCTTTAGCTTATAAATAAAACCGGATGACCCGGATATTTATTTTTATAATCGAGATCAAGATTTTTCCAGACATCTCGTACGGCACCCCCAGTCCTGTCTCTATTTGATAGGTACCAGGGTTGCCGCGCGTACAAAATTCTTCGGGTACAAGTTTCGGGTATCGTGTTGGAGCGTTTTCATTTCGGGTATCGGATTTCAGGTTGGCAAAAATATCGGGTATGGGTTTCGGGTTGGAAAATTTTCTTTTCGGGAATCGGGTACAAAAAAGGCCGGGTTTCGGGTTTCGAGCGGCAACCCTGATAGGTACTTAAGGTATTTTCCTATAAATTATTTATCAAATCGACCATCATTTAGAGGAAATAAGATAAAAAATACCTATAACTTTGTTATTTTCTATTAATTTTCTTTTATAAATATTGTCAGCACTAATCAGTTAACATTTCTAGGAAAGAAAGTCACTTCCTTAAACGGATATGCTAAATTATTTATCTCTTTTCCTACAAAAAATTCATTTTACACTGAAAATTTTTTTTAATTTTGCAGTAAAATTCTTTATAAAAATCTTTTTTTACATTCATTTTTACAAATTCAAAATTTTTTTAGCACCAACTCCAAAGCCTTCAACTAGCACAACAACTAGAAAAACTTTACCTCCCCGCTTTCCTGTTGATCCTAATGATCCAACTTTGTATGCCGTTAGACCAACGACACCAATGAACGGAGCTTCTCAATACGGAAATACTCCTACAGTATGTTAATAGATAATTTGATTTCAAGGAAAGGGATTGAAAAAATGGACCTAAACAAGTAAAGGACTTCGACATTTTTTCTGTGAAAATGTCGGCGAGATCATAGACAGATTCTGAAACTGAGAACGTCATTGTGTTTCAACATCTCTCAAGAAATTAAACTCACTCTATTATCTATCATTTATCCTTAAATAATCACCGATCCCACACTTGTAAATATTCTTTGAGAAAGCAATGATTTGTTATTTCTCTTAAATGTAAGTACACAGCGGTTATTTTACCACCACAAACTTTAATATCCGTATCCAAATAAATTTTTTGGAAATATCCGTATTCGTTTATATTATGATTATCATATTAGTACATCATATCCGTCCTTCTTTTTCAAGATTTATATCGTACCCGCCCTTATCCTCTGATATTCGGATATCTGCAGATATATCCGTATTCTTGACCATACCTAGTAAACAGTAATTGCAGTTATTTTACAATTAAAAAATAATAAAATAATTTCAGACAATGGTTCCTTCTACCTCAAACAATCAATTAGGCAACGATAAAAAATTTTTGATTGGAGGTATTCTTGAATATTATTTTTAAGGTATTTTTGAATTTTAGTCGGATCACTTAGTATAGTTGTTATGCTTGGTGCCATATTACTTTGTGTCTTTTTTAAACGCCCTCATCAGATTTGTGCTCAAATGGCAGCAGCGGCAGCTGGAGGAGGTCAAGGAGGGGCAATTGGACAATCTTCGACTAATGGCCTAAAATCCGGCTATACACCAATTCCTCCTAATGAATTCTCTCCCCAGGTTCAGCACCATCAAATGAGAGAATTCGAAAGTAATAATAATGGAGGTGGTGATCGTGTTGGAACTCTTGTGGTAATAGTTGTAATAATTTTTTATGACGGGACTTATGTTTTTTTCGTCTATCAAGACAACACCTTATGTTCGTAACGAAACTCAAAATTGAATCCAATCTCGAGATCGAAACCAGCTTAAAAATTACTCAAAAGCAAATAAAAGTTGACCAAACTCATAGTCAAAACCAATTGAACCCAAACTCGAAACAAGCCCAAGTTTTTTGACTATAAACACCTTTTCAAACACGAAACCGCCCACCCACTCACTACTCACCCAACTAAAACTCCAAAAAATTTTGAGTTATACATGGAATTTATACATATATACCTAGAATAATTTTACATTAATTGAAATATTTTAATTACAAAAAATAATCATTTAAAGGGTTCAACCCAAAGTTTATTACGTAATGGAAGTGGAACAATAGGGAATGGAAACGGCGCTTCGGCTGTTGGATTTACTGAAAGATCAGGTGCAAGATTCACAACAATATTAGCTCAAGGGAATGGAGGTACTCCACGAGAAACAATTGCAATTTCAAGAGAAGCTCAACAACCAAAAAGAGAATTTAAAGAGTGGTATGTCTAGAATTGAGGAAAATATTAGTAGAAAATAATGCTCAATTCAATCTAAACTTCAAAATTTTGTTGTTTAATTAATACTTTTTTCCAATTATTATTTAACCCTTTGTAATCTCACTTGTCATCAAAACAATATTTATTTTGTATTTTTTTTATTATTATGTATAATTTTTTTCAATAAATATAGTAATTTATATTTAGTTATTTAATTGAAAGAACTTTCTTAAAGAATTTAACAGTAAAAAATGTTTAAAATTATCTAATTAGAGACAAAAAACTTTGGTTTGCAAGACCGGACTGGGAATGTCGCACAAGAATGGCATGATATACATATACCTATCTTTAAAAATCTCAAAAAATAAAATTTTTGTTCAATACCTAGTCTCAATCTGCATTTTTTTGGAAATATCAATTTCATTTCTTCTACGACACACATAGTCCGGTTTCTAATTCTAATACATTAAAAATTACAATTTAAATTTTTTCATTTTTCTTGGTTCTTATCTCAATAAGATCATAAGGAAAAAGTGGGTGATAATTATTTGGCAATCTGTCAATTTTATAGTTCTCTGAATCCAAAGTTTCCTTCTTCGACACCTCTTTGTTTTCCGAAATATCAAATTTAGGCAAAATTTCATTTTTTCCATTTATCTTATCCAAGGTCATTTCGCTCATTTTATCCAACGTTTTATCCTTTCGAATAATCACTGGCGGCGGCTGCAAACAGTTATTTACAGACACATATCTGCAAGACATATTTTTTGAAATATATTTTGAAGAGCTTGTAGGAAGTGCCACTTTTGTAGGAAGTGACAGTTGCTTTTCGATTAAGTTTTTCTTCAAAGCCATTCTTTCGTTGCTAAAAGTTGGTAATGCTTAAATAAATGGAATTATAAAAAATTCAAAATAAATCTAAAATAACAACCAGCTCGGGGAGTATAATTGGTCAAAACGTTGTATGAGAACTTGATTTCCATGAAAACAAATAGTGAGATACTTGTTAGAAGGTGTATCATACCCATGGGATTTGCCTTATTGTTTTCGTTGAAGCTGGATTAAGACGGATTTTTAGACTGGATTTGCTTTTCTTAAAAATGATAAGTGATTTCATTGAAACCAATCCCGTATTTATAACCTTAAGATTGCCCTTTTAACGAGATTGCCCTTTTAAATAAAAACAGGCAATATGAAATACTTTTAATTTTAGAGAGCGGTTAGTGAGTTAGGGCAGGATTCATTGCCAATTTTGAAATGATTGGACTTGCTGTATATTTCACAAAAAAATACACATGAATTCCTAAATCCCTTTTCATGTTTTCACGTGAATATTAATGCACTTTGAAGTTGATATTTCAAAATATGATGCAATATATGATGCAATAACTCACCTTTAAATGCCCTTTTCATTAACTTCAAAGCTTCCGTTATTGACAGTCTTGAGTCGGTAATTTCTTAACTAATGTAGTGTGAATGTAGCGTGAAAGGTAATAATTAAAGAAAAATACAAGGGTAATAAGGGAAATATAATTTTGAAATTAAAAAACTGCCCAGGAGCGGCGCTAGCCACTCCTATCCAAAAAAGAGGAATAAATACGCGATTAATTTCAAAGAAAAATCATAATTAAAATTTTTTTCAAGGAAATCCATCTTTAAATTTAATAATTTTCAACTAAAATTAATTTAATATTTCACTGAATTAAAAGAAAAATCATGAGAACATTCAATTTGATGAAAATGTTAAGCATCTGTCAGTTTGTATTGGCAGTTTTCACCATTTTTATTCTACATGCTTCAAAAGGAGTACCTGTTGGAACTATTCCTAATATTGCCCCTTTACAAGGTGATCCTTTTTAAAATTTACAATTTATAGTTAGGAGAGGTAGAAGTTTAGCTGCTGCTAGTAATCATTTGCTAAGCTATTTCGCTCACACTCACCAAGTTCAGCTCCTATTTTAATAGATCTTAAACCGCTGCCTTTTAAGTGTTAAATGCTACCTATCTAAATAATTCTTCTTTCCTAAATTTTTAATTTATTAATTTAGCAAAGTTTCCTATTAATCACAACGCTATTAGAGTCGGGCAATCCCGAAATGTATCAGCTTTAAAAGTAAATTCATCAGCAAGCTCTAACAAGGGAACTGTACATTTGGCTATAGAACATTACAATAATCCCCAGTCTGTAATTGTCTCACAAAAGCAGAAACAATTTGTCCATCCAGCCTCGCTAAATAAAAAAGTGCTGGATCATAATGTGCAACATGCGAATGCTAACGAGCATTATAAGCTTGAAGAAGGAATTGTTACAAAAGATGATGTAGGCGAAGAAGAATACATAATGAATGCATTGAGTGAAGCAATCACTACTAAAACTCCAATAAAAATGACAGTGAAATATTCAAAATACTTTCATGAATTTGTGAATATGATCCAAGGTGATCAGACAACATTAACAAAATTCAAACTGAATCCTGAATTCAAAAAATATATTCTTGAGAACGGGATTAAAACTATCTTGGAGCTTGCCGAGTATGATAACCTTAAAGAAAATCATACGAAATTCTTTCAAAAAGCACTTGATTTGTATGATGAAGAAGTTAGGCTAGAAAAATATAAAATGGCTGGCAACAAATTGACAGATGAAGAAAAGGAGGAAAGTTTGAAAAATATTACATTTGAGGGAACAACCGAAGAAAAATTGATGAAAGAAATTTTGAATGTTTTGAATGTTCTAGAACCTGAACAGAGTTTGATTGGAATTATGAATAAGCATGTTACTGTTTTGGACCAGTGCATTAACCAATTAAAACACCTCTTCTCTAACGACTTTGATGTTGTGGCTGATAATGAAACTAAAACATTTAGAGCGATGAAATTAGAAATGATGGGGAAAATGGAAACATTGAAGAAGAGTAAGTTTATTAACCTAAAAACTGAAATAGTTACACAGTGTAATTATTAGAGTTCGAACTTTTCAAAATGCCGGGCCCGGGACCCGGTTTTTTCTTATCAAAATCGCACCCGGACCGGTTTTTCCGGATAAAACCGGAAAAACCGGTTAGCCCGGAAAAACCGGATTTTTTCAGACCCGGGCCCGGACCCGGTTTTTTCTAAATTTATTAAAAACAAAAAAATTATCACACATACAAAGGATCGGAAAACATACAAAGGATTGATTAAAGGATAGATGAATCAAAGGATAGATGCGCTAAAGGATATAGTATAGCAGGGGTGTCCGCAAGTGAAAAAAATTTCCGCAGCCGCAATTTTAATTTTAAAATCCGCAGTCCGCAATCCGCAATTTTTGAATAATTTGTAGTCTGGGAAAATAAGTGGATTTGAAGTATTTGGGAAGCCTCCATGTGATATCAGTGATTTGTAGGGATATAGAAGATTATGAATTTGAAGGGATTCATAGTAATTCCAAATATAATAATATCCCCCTTAATCCTCCGATTTTCTCTACAAATCCGACTTTTCACTTAAATCCACTAATGGTGATTAATTCTTCTTTTCAAGCGCCGAAAGCAAAAATTTTGAGAATTTTGGAAGGTAGGCTACCAGATTTCTTCTTTTATTTACCGCGGAGCCGAAAATTTTGAGAATTTGTGTGGACAAGGAGCTAGATTTCTTCTTTTTCTAGCGCCGCAGGCGAAAATTTTGAGAATTTTGGAAGGCCAAGGAGCAAAATTTCTTCCTTTTTCACCGCCGGAGGCGACTCTCCGGGCCCGGCAAAAAATTACCGGGCCCGGGACACGGTTTTTTTACTCAAAATCGCACCCGGGCCGGTTTTTCCGGATAAAACCGGAAAAACCGGTTAGCCCGGAAAAACCGGATTTTCTCAAAAATACCCGGTTCCGGGCCACCGGGCCCGGAAAAAACCGGTCCGGGCCCGGCCCGGGTTCGAACTCTAGTAATTATTGTTTCACACTCTAGCTCGAGGGGGTAATTTATAAGGAGTAGGTGCTAGATCTGGAGTGGATCTAAACCCAATGTGAACGGAATTTATTTAATTTTGAGTTGATTCATAAAATTTTTCCATTATTTAAAATTTCACTTGACATTATGTGCAGGCAAAAGAGCGGACATAATGTGACCATTTTAAATCACTGTGAAAATGATAGTGATTTATAAATATTTTTAAAATTGGTATAGGAGGAGAGGCGGTAATTATTAGAGAAGGAGAGAGTAGATATATATTTAGAGAGAGTAGATATTTCAGGATTTACACTTGCCAATTGAATAATAAAGATAATAAATTTAATTTCATTTAGTTTTTAATGGCACTCAGAGGATTCTTTTATTACTGAAACATGAAAGGATTTAGAGAAAGAATTCAATGAGAATGTACATAAGCTAAAACAAAAAAAACATTTTTGCTAAATAATTTGATTTTTAATTAAATACTATAAAATCTATTTAAATAAATTTTAACATTATTTTATAAATTATTTGAGGGTTATGGAAAAAATTTTATAACTGCAGTCACTGGATGGATATCTTAAACCAGATTTCAATCTTTTTTCGACGTGAAATCCAATCCATGAAAATTTTGAAGACTTGTTCCGAAAATATTATTGACCCAATACATTTAACATAACATTGACAGTCCTCAAGTACTACGACAGTTTTTTCAGAATTTAAAAGCCCTTGGGTATTGTAAAGCATGTAGCTATTTAATTCCAAGGCTGTGCAGTAGGCGGCGTGGTGTAATGGATAAACACATCAGTCCGGTCTACTGAATATGCTGGTTCGCTCCCAGTCACCAAATAACCTTTTACACTAGGTAAAGAAGATAAATAGCTATAGCTCAGCTGCTTTACTTTATTTTATTCCCTTTGATTCAGTTCCATTCAAAAAATGGCTGCTCCATAACTTGCAAAACAAGACTTGCCAAATAAGCTGAAACCGATATCTTGCAAAATACAAAAAATCCTAAACTTATCGTTATTGGCTCGACGCTTGTAATTCAGTCTAGAGCGAGTGTTAACGATACAGCGAGAGTAAACG